CAGCCACAATAAATGATCGAAACTTTTTGAACTGTCCGCCTTTTCCTCTTGACATTTCACACGGACGAAACTAAACAACATCAACACTCAGAAAGGGTAAAATCGATTACTCAAGTTTACAATTTAAGGAAGATATTGACCTGTGATCACAATTTTTTACTAGGTGTCGTGTTATCTTAAATTTTAAACAGAACTTTAGATGATCCGAGTAAGAACAAAAAATTATGTGGTTGTTTTGCCAATAACAAAAAATATATTTAGACCCGAACAAATAGAGTACAACGTATCACACCAAATATAGAGTATAAAATAATCAATTGTGAACTTATGCTTAGATTAGGAAACCCCACGTTTAAACTTAAAACAGTGGATAATGTCACATATTTCTTTCATGTTTTTTATAAAAGAAATCAAATATTTAAGTATCTCATATTTCAGATGTATCACCTATATATATCAGTGTTCTAAAATACGGTCCAAACGCCCGCGTATACAGTGGTTTATCGTACCGTATTTATGTTATACTTATTTTTAAATTTAAAAAAAAAACAAATTATACGATAATTTTTTTTTGTCACTTTTTTTTGTCACCAAATTGTACGATAATTAAATGACAGAATATACAACATTAGCACATATATTTTTCAAAAGTTTAAAAGAAAACGATATTTTTGACTTTTGTCCACAAAAAAAATAATTAAAATTAAATTATATATCTAAACTATACACATCTAAAAATATAAATATTATTCATCTCATCTAATATTTGATATAAATCTGTTTTTTGTTACTTGAAATAATGTTCTCAACTATGTTATTTTACTATTTGAGTAAACTACTATGTCAATGTTAATTATTTAAGTTTTTGTATACTATTCATAATAATATTTTTTCTATTATCTATTAAATTAAAATAACATATATTTATATATCTATATATTTTTGTAAAATAAATATCCACTTTATATACTCCACATAAACGTCCGCGTATACGTCCAGGAGCGGAGGCATAGTGAATTTGGATGGGGAACTTGCCCACCATGAATTTTTCAGAATTAGTATAATTCTTTAAGGAGTTTTCATATGTCCCTTTCGATATATTATTTTATAGTGTGTTGTTTGATAAGTTTTTAGCTTTGCACCAGGTGAAAAAGATTTTTAGATCTGCCACTTTATATGTCTACCTTACAGGTGATTCACCGCCCGGCTAACGTATAGCGTATTTTAGAAC